TCTCGTGCACCATAAATACAAACATATCCAAATAGAGTTGGCTCCGGGCCATTCTATTAGAACGCGCTGTTTCCACTACAGCGCGTTCTATTACAGAGCGATGCGCCCTCTACTGTGACTTCGATCTAACCCCGAGCGACTTACTCAACCGACGCTCGCCAGGATTTTGACGCTCGGTACGGTATGGTCCGGTTTACTTCTATATGAATGATCTCAAGCCGGTGCTGATTAGCACTTTAAATTGGGAAACTTTTAAGGGCTTCATTTTAGTATTGTTTCAATGCCCTAACATACCGACCTCAATAGTAGAGCAACTAGGGTGAAGCTAGCGAACGCTATTATAAAATCGACACAATTACAGACAATTTTGAAAATGTTTGTAGTAAAATGTTCCTTAGCACAATAAACATTGAAAACAATATAATAATTTTTCACAGTATAAATTTGGGCCTAAATTGTTCGTTTTCGATAATTTTTGCAGAAAAATGTGAATAAATGAATGAACCATGCGAAATATATAATTATCCGACACAAATACCCTACGGTGGTGATTTCAGGGCCAGAAAAAACAAAAAACACTTTAGCACCAATGTCATAGGACCACCCTATTTCGACAAACGAGTGTTGGTCGTCGTATTCGTTACGGAAAACTGTTCACAAGTGAGCGTAACCACAGACCCGATACAAATATGCTACATTCTGAGGTCAGAAAGTAAGTTTTCTGTACAAAGATTATGGAAATATATATAGTTATGGAAATATACGTAATTAACATGCGCCTTTAACTTTTAATAAATGAGCAATGCATTTTTACTATTAATAGTGTATTTCAATTTATTCAACATATCTGTATAGATAACATTTTGTACATTTCAATAACGGTGTCAACACTTATTTTCTGAACTGATTTTCTTCTGATTTACGAACAACAACGTGCATCATAGTGATTCACGTTGAGTGAAAATCTGTATATATTGTGTCTCGAAAAGGACACACAGTGATCTAATTTTTATACATGAGTTAGAGTATTGTCTGTGTCAGTCCTGTCCTGTACGAGTTTAAAGGTGCGCCGTGATAATATGGATTGAGTATTTGAAACCATTATTTTCATAAATTTCAAACTATGGCACGTTATTCTAACCTATTCTATACCTACCCCAACATGCGGAATTAGCATGGGATCACCAGCTTCGCCTGAGATTTCTTACATAATAACATTCCACCCACTGGAAAATCGAATTTTACTACTCAGTGCTCAAAATATCAAAACTTTGTACCGCTTTCGAAATGACATCTTCATGTTAGTACTAGAATTAAACACATTTGTTAAGGAAGCCAACATGCTTCATAAAAAATACCGGCTCACATTTGAATATTCCCTAACGCAAGACAACGGAAACGTTTCAATATTTCAATAAACGTAATTTTTGTCATTCCACATCAGTATTCAAATGAATTTATCAAAGGTGAAACCATTCGGTATGCTCGAACATGTAATAATCTAAACGATTTGTTACAGAAACGTGATCTATTTATTGAAAAAATGCGTGAAAGAAATTACACAGATAGTGATTTCTGTTGTAGAATAATGAGACTGATACAATGTTATGCTGTGTCAACTTTTGCTTTCTCGAACTCAGATTCGTATATTGCTTCCGTGGATACTTCTGTCCTGATTACACCTGAAATAATTAACACGGAATATAACTTAGTTAGCTAATGTAACACTGCCCTCAGTCGGCAAGATGTTCGTCAATCCACCACCTCATCGATACTTATGTAAACAATGTTAATCGTCGATTTTCCCTCGTATTCATAGGCTACACAATAAAAAAGTAAACGCAATATTCCCAAATCTTAACTCTAAGTTTTTATTATCTAAATGCGGTCATGTAAAATACTTACTCATATGTTTGATTCCTGATCTCATACGACGAGACTGTTTACCTAAACAAAAATCAGATAGTTATGGTATTGCATGGACACGTTAAGGATTGATATTGGTTGATAAATACTTATAACTACCGTGCTCTGAATGAGTATGGAATTACATGATGTGTATTAGGTCACATAAAGTAGTAACTATTTGAATGTGACATTATATTAAAAATTCTGTATCAAATAAATAGTCAAAACGACATTTAGTTTATACATTTATTATATGCAACAATGCAAAATGTGCAGTTAAGTTATATGAATGTACCTGGTAGATACAACACTCTATTAACAATTTAAACTGGAATTTATTTAATATTATGCAGATAAATGATTACAGTTAAAACACGTATAAAGAACATAAGGGTAACATAAATTATAACAATGTATCTGGCATATTAAAACATAACTCTGTATCAACCTTATTATTCTATAAAATTATATGAAATAGTCGATATATTAGTACAGAAATACTAAATTGATTGCAACTTAGATTCTAATCGTACATACTGTTACTGATTTCTGTCGATGAGCAATGTTGGTCGGCCTCAGTGTATGTAAATCCATGTTTTTCCATTGCAAGTTTAATCATTATTTCTTTTGATAATACTTGAAACATATATGCGGTTACCATCGATGGTGGGCTGTAAAAAACAATCACAATTACTAACCAATCTTACTTAAATGATAATGAAACTCAATATATAAATATGTTAACATACTGACCCATTTCTGAAAGTTTCTGTTAGTATATCATCACTCTTGCCAGAGGGTGTTCTTATCGTAGAGAATCTGTCGTACAATCTGTATAATTCAATAATTGGCATTCAATAACTTGTCCATGCTTAATGCTGAAGTTGTACTGTGAAAGTATTGCCTATTTTTTAACAGGTATCCTCTATTGACTATCGTTTGAAATAGAAGTTTTGAGGTATATCTTAAAGTTCGTGGACACTTGGATAATGTTCGTTCTTCATTTATGTTGACATGGTATTGGCGTTCATGTTGTCAATATTTCGAAATTAAACAACAAAAGCTATATTTCGTATGAAACCACTAAAGTACAAATTGTCCCAACTCTTCTGTTAGTGGGAGTGTTTCAAAGTTAAATTGCTTCGAGATTTTGGAAAATTTGATTGCACGCCCACGAGAAGTAAACCTAATCGCAAGTTCTATTGTATAGAGCAAACATAAGAGTTGTGAAATTATTGGATGAGAACGAAAAATACAAATTTTCAAACAAATTTACAAAAGTGAGTATAAAAATTAAAGAATAACTCATGACAAAATAACTCGTTAACATACCTGGGACCGGATTTAACTATTACACATTTATTATTTAAATACTCAATAAGGGAATCCACAGCCTGTAACAAATTAAAGCCAGGTCTTGTTAAGTCTCTATTCTATATTAAACAGACTCAAGTTAGCAACACTGATTAGCTTATAGTCAGCTTACCTCGAGGGTGAAAAGATCGAGTCCAAAGCAATACTTCAGGCGGGTTTTCTCTCTGTCACCTTCGAGACATTCTACATGTCTTTTTGCCTCAGGCAACTCTCTGTCAAAACATCAAAGAAAAACCGTCAAATTTGAGAAAAAACTATTCTGAAGTATGCGAAAGAAAAATGTGTAAGTACTTAAAACTGCTAACATAAAAGTATTAAAATATAATTTACCTTTTCTGTTCACAATGTGACATTATTATATGTTCCATATACCAATGATAAGAAGGTAACTATCAAGAAATAATATGCAAGAAAACATTTATAAGACAGGGATACTCACTTTCGCTAAGTTTGAATATTCCGATATTGCATGACTGAATTTATTGAATTGACTGTTAGCTAATTCGCAGGTTTTGTGTAACCTACCTCTCTAATGATATCTCTTTTCTGGAATACAAACTTTGGTTCACTACTTTCTATGGCATTACTATTATCCTCAGTTACATCATTGGCATCGACACATGTACTGACATCATCAGGATTCTATTCATTAGTTTATAAACGAATTATTGTGATTACAAATCATATACATATTACATTCATAGTTGCTATCGACATAGGAAGTAAAGTAAGCAAATAACACCGAATAAACGGCAAGGTAAAGACTATGTCTAATTATAGTAAACACGTACTGCGTGCGTGACTCGAACCGGCGCTCGCGTACGGCACCTAATCGCCTAGCTTCACATATTACATATTACATTGACATGCCTTGAACATATAATTCCCGGTAGTACATATATTTAGGTTGTATATTTGTACATACTAGTATGTAACAATAAATGCAATTAATTTTCATGAAATTAATTAATCTATACGTACTTCATCATTTCGCCTATGCATTTGTGACAGACCTGAGGTTTCTGGAAAAAAAATCTAATATGTAAATGTGTGTTGGTGTTCGCATGTGTTTCAAAGAACCAAGGTGCCCCAGAGGCCTGATCAAGGTCACGAAGTCAAGTTGAGGTCATGGGGTAAAGTTTACAAAGGAGCCGCCAATGGAACAATGGGGACTGTACTGGCGCCAATTTGAGGCCAAATACCATACATTCTTATTGCCTTTCAATTCGTTATTGCATTATTTGGTAAGCTCAAAAACTGAATAAATTGCACAACACAATTTATCTTGGGTGGCACATTAGATTTGTACTTACTTACCTAATGTTGGTTTTTGATGATCCTGTTCGCTGTCCCCGATAATAATAGCAATGTCACTGAAATAATATAGAATTTCAAACATAGATGAGATTAACTAACGTATATACCATATCTAAAATATCCTTGGCACGCTGTGTTGAAAAATTACAGAACAGTTATCTCGTATTTTATTGTTATTTTAGAGCTTCGTACCTTTCCGCAGTTTTTTTCTTCTTTACAGTCTCTGTTATCCACTTATCAGAAAAGCGTTTCTGTAATAAAACAATACGTCGATGTATACTAGTACAGTGTAAAATATTTCTACATTCAACCATAACAACGAGAAATATGAAGCTCATATTCGTAATTCAGATTGATTTACACATTTTTTACAGCATTCACTGCGTATAATTACCTTTGATGGATTAACTCGTAGATTGTATTTCATTGTATCCTTGTTAATTTCTGCATAATACAATACAGCATGAAGTCTTGTTAATTTACAAAGAACAGGAATTTTAAAGAAAGTTTAAAAATGAATGATTATTGTACACACTGACCTTGTAAAGGTTTAACCGCCATGTAATGAAGGTTTGGCAGATACCCTAGGTATATCATCTCATTAAGTGGTACGTCATGTGGCGGACTTATGATCCTGGTATAAGTTGGGGTTACAAGCTTAATTTCCGATTGTAACATAATTGAAGCAACAACAAGTATAATCTGGTCACCCTAAACGCTCGGTCCTTTCATGTAGTCGATGTAATTCTCAAAAGTTGTTTTCATATTACGTAGTTCAACACATAGTAAGCCCTTTAGAAAATCAGAGAAAAATAAATTATGCAATAATTGTTTAGTATTAATAATGCGCAATGACTGTCTTTATTTGTATTTATACAATTTTCTGATTCTGTCAAAACCCTAAATATTATGTTACATATTATGTATAATTTACATAGTTGAACGACACATGGAATAACAAATAATAATAAAAAAGACACAAACAAATCCCACGGTACAACATGATACTAAACTGCATTTATCATATTATTTTTTTAATCGGGAATGACTTATGTTAATTATTAAAATTTAAGGATAAAAACTCTCAATATACTCTCAATAATACTAACTGCATTGTTTTTGGATATTAATAACTATATTGTCATTCAAATATTGAGCATGAAGAAACTACTATTTGCCGTAATGTTAATACATGTTTGCGACTCGTCTCACAGAAATCTATGAGAATGTAACTGAACACAAATGCTATATGCTATTTCTTACCTGAAGCTCAGTTTTTGATTCCGACATGAAGTTTAAAATGAGTTCGCGTAACTCGTAGTGAGATAGTTCTGTCCGTGGGATGTCCTTAACTCTACAAATATGTTCACACAGTGCGTGGAATAAGCAATTCCCATCCATTGGTGTTGGCGGTAGGCATTCTTCCAGCCCTTCTCTGAGTAGGGCATCCCTCAGACGAGTGATATTCTCTGTCTCTTTCTCAGCAGTTTCACGTGACTCACGCAGAACCCTCATAATATCAATCACTTGATTATTGTAACCTAAATAATGAGATTAATACTTATTAATATAATGGGCTCTCGAGTCAGTGAACACCAATATGTTTTATATCAACGATGTATCTCAAGAATACATTCCGTATTTCCATATCATGGTCAATTACCTTGTGTTTGGTCCATTGCTATAGAACCAAGTATCTCCTTTGCAACTTCAAGGTCTATAACTGAATGCTCTGGTATATTATCTGTATTGGATGATTGAAATACAAATTATGAGGAACATGTGATAAACAAACAAACATATAATTCAAACACGTAGATGAAGTCAGTTATAAAAATCAAATATGCCTCAAATCAACAAGGTTGTGCAGTCATATATGCAATTATCATACCTGTGACATCACCCTGCTCCGATAAACTTTCGACGTGTACGGTAACATTGGAAATGTGGTCAATAGAGGAATAGTTTGAAGTCGACTGACCTGTGTGGAAAAGAAAACATAAAAATGTAACATGTACATGAAATGATTTAAGTGAAAAGTATGAAATTTATGTACTGAACTAACAATTACAGTTAAAAAAATCAAATATAACCTAAATCAGATATGCAATTATCATACCTGTGACATCGCCCTGCTCCGATAAACTGTCTACGTGTTCGGTAACATTGGAAATGTGGTCAATAGCGGAATGGTTTGAAGTCGAATGACCTGTGTGGGAAAGAAAACACGAGTATGTAATACATACTTTCATTAACATGTGAAACATAAATAATCACTATAGATACATGAGTAAACACATTTGTAGTGAAACAATAAACTTACTGATAACTGCACGTCCCAAGCTATCGAAGGTTACTTGGGCCTTGAATACGTCTGTCATTTTGGCCATGGTATCGGCGTTCACTTTCATGTTATGTGAGTGAATAACATTCATTAATATAAATATATGTGTTGTAGCTCCCATAGTATTTAGGAAATGAATGTCCCTCTTTCTTGAGTTGTGTATTTGTTCTGCTACCTGACTATTTACAATGCCGTGCAACTCCGGAATATTTGAAATACGTCGCAATACTTCCTCTTCCTTGGATGTATTTTGCTGGTGAAATACATCATATAAACACAGATGAACATCATCTCCTAGTACATGATTTCCTTGACTGGACTGCTGCCGACCATATAGCCAAGGTAAGTGTACCTCCAATTTTCCTTCTGTTGCTAGCATAATATTTTCTGATGTGCTTTCTGCAACTCTGCCGTCATAGGGATGAAACATCTGCGGATATCTAATATTTCCATGTCTTGCTACCATATGTGGCATATCAACGATAACAACAGATGGTTGAACCTTGAAAGACCTAATAAGGTCAACGTGATCTCGCGGACTCTCAGCCCGAATAAGAAACTTAACTGCATATACGATACGATGAGGGCAGCTTGCTGAAAGCCATCCACCTTAATAAATACAAACATATATGAATATTTTTCCACACACAATTTGGTCAATGATAAATTTTCCATTAACAATAGTTACATTATGCATTCTATTATTCCCTAATTTTGTTTTCGTGGGTCTATATTTAAATTTGAGTATTGCTCGATAGTATATTTAGTAAATTGTGCATAGATTTCAAAGTGTACGTACCAGAAGCACCCCATATCTTTTGGAATACTTTGTTCATTATATTATCATTTTTAATCAGTGCCTGTCGAATACGCAATACCATATCATATTTTGATCCGGTTGCTGCAATATTGCAAGTTGAACATATTTCTTTCACCTTTGCAACCTTTCGAAACAAATATTAATATGAAAGCTTAGCATATGTTTCAATTCATATACTAGTATATTAAATGTCAGTTCAGGTCTATCAGTACAAATCAAATATCATTAGTTTACACACCGTACATACAAAATAATAACAAATATGAATTGGAATTAATCTGGTCTACTTTCTCTACTTTGTGGTTAAATAATAGTAAACATCATTTACCGTGATGCTTGAAGAATTCAGGAGTTCTATTAAACGCTCCTCGGACATATCACGACAGTCTGTTTCAAGTCTTTCAGTTTCTCTTATCACTTTTCTGTGCTCTGTATTCCATACTGTTTCCCCACGGGTAGCTCGTCCAATGTATGGTGCCCATGCTGAATAGGATGGTGTCACTTGGAATGGATTTTTTTCGCCATCTGTAACAATATAACCATAATATACATTTACATAATCTTTATGTTTGTGCTAGGAACGAACCAAAATAAATATATCATAAGAACTGCCAGCAAAACAGTGGGAAAACAAAAAGACACATTAATTAGTATACAAAACAATGTCACATTACAACATTAAAAATACAAACAATCATTTGGGTAATTATATTATAATAAAATATGTATCTTACATCTAATGAGCGGTTTCACTAACTTCTCCATTTCGATCTTTTTCCAGAATGTTTCAACATCAACTTTATCAGAATCTTCACAAACATCCGGTAATTTGAGACTAGACACTTAGAAAAAAATAATGTAGGGTTTATTGTTTATTAAAATCATTTGAATGAAAACTCAACATTGCAGTATTTCATCTCTAACTAAACATATGTTTAGACCTCATATTAGCAATTAACTTAACGTTGCATATTTTAAATATATTCACTACACTACATGCTTACCATCCATCCTGAAGCATGCCTTTCTTTGCAAATCAGTAATGATGACGGGCGGGTTACTGCCACAAATTACACAATTGATACGCTTTGATGACAACATTATGGGGTATCCGTATATTGTTTGTGTCTTCCCAAGCTGACATCACACTACCAATAGCAGTATGATTCTGTGTATGAATATATGTGTTCATGTTATACAAATGGGCCAGAGATATTCGTATTAATCATAATTCTATTGACTTATTTTCTCAAACACGTTCTCAGCATACGTTATCATTTTTTCACACAGAAAATGATTTAGCAAAACTTACTGCGAGAGATTTTCTTAGAAAAACTAATAATCGCACAGAAAATATCCATTTGTCATCATAATTGTGTAATTGATCACAATGTTCCTGATATCTGTACACCAGGTCACAAAGACCGCACTTTCGACAATAAGTTTCCACGCCTAAAAAATACAAAATGTAATAGTTGTATAACGATCGTCTTATTGGGGTAATGGTTGCCGTTGACCAAAAAATGTGCAAACAATTAAAAAATAACACAACAATATTAGTCATTACGTATTTTGCATAATTTCATAGGATTGAAAAGTATGTGAATATATATAGTTTTTATATGACAGTATAAATAATAGAGGAAACAGTTACATACCTTTTATTAGTCCATTCATTGCAACTATATTTGCATTCGATGATATAAGCAAGGGTGAATCCAAAAGCGGTTGCGATTTACATACTTTGCACCTCTTTTCCACAGGCATGAGACGAGTATGGTTAAAATTCTCTGACATAGACAAAGAAATATCAGGTGGAATTTTTTTATGCCTCAACCAGTATTCAACCATTCTCTCCGAAATGTCAATAACCGGTGGATATGAATGTAATTGTTTTATAGCGCCAGGAATAATCAGCGTGTTGCCATCATCAATGTCATCAGTTTCATATTGGTCTTCTGAGGCGCCGTGGTGTATTTTACCCGGGAATACTTGGTAGCAATACCAACGAGCAAGAGCTTTGTGACCGCAACCCCTCTTCTTGCAGCATCGACAATGCCATGTTTTTTTATCACTATCATACGAAACAATAACTCGCCCAAGTATACTGTAATAGTGAGTCTCGCCTGTATGAATGGAAAAACGCAATTGCCGATCTGTACTAGCCGATTCAAATAATGGATACAAAGGCACTGACCCATTGGCTATGCTTCGACTGTTCAATGTTAGAGCTGCATCTCTACTGCTTTCAGAAAATGGATGATACGTATTACATAATTCATCAAGTTTCACGGGGAGAAGGAATGGTTGTTCTATGAATCGAATTGCTCTGTTAACTGATAATAAATGTTGACATTCGAAACTTGGAAGTCTGCTACGTGTTGCAATTGTTGCAGCTTGTATACATGTGCTACTCTCGCAAAATACTTTTGGATTTGTACAAAGAAGTTCTTTCTCAGCATGAATTGGTAAGGCATTTCTCGGACCAGCTTCCACTGCAAATAAGGAGTTTTCTCGATTCACAGAATATGATTTAAGAACTGGCAAAGACTTAAAACTATTGCCATGTATGTTTTCTTCGTGGCGTTTAAGATTTTTTTTCAACATACGTTCGCCACATTCAGAACATGATACTCTGTCTACCCCACGTTTGAATAGTGGAATGCGTGTTGATGTACTACATGATAAATGGTTTACTAAAGGCAGATTGGATGAGGGTGATGGAGATTCATCTCTTTCAGAATCATCGCCAGGATCTTCATGATCGATTGGTGGTGGCATTGGCAGTGGTTGCGAATGTTGTTGCTTTTTATCTTCTGTAAAATACAATATAACAACACATAATTATCTTTCTAATTACGGTGTATTATAGCTTTCTATTTTGGTATTGTACTATTCTGAAGAGAACATTAAACGTGAATACGTAAAAACAACATATATGTTACCATTCTCAGTCTTCTTTCTTGATAATAATACGGCCACTTCAATGTTGTCCATGCTGTTGTCGCATGTTTTAAGATGCCGCTCCAATATGTAGGCCTTTGACCAAATAGTCAAACAAAATGGGCAGTGCCAGTGTCGTGGCGTTTTAATAATCGCGCTGTCACATTTACACATAACACTGTGTAATCCTTCAAATAGGTTAACAAAATTGTAGTATAATTATATGTGGTGCTTCTGAATTGACAATAAGTGGATGTGTAATGAATACCTGTATGATTGCCCGTAATAAACCAATGCGATGGTAGATTAATTCAATACAATTGACCTAATTCGTCATATCCATGACAGACTCAGAATCTAAGTTGACTACGACAACTACGCGGAGAAACTAATGATATTTGACCAAAACCATTTATACAATTACCTGCAATGATTTGCAATCTTGGCAATTATCTGAATTTATTGACATTGTTTGGTTTTCACGACGAAACGAGAGGGCGGATAACATACCAAAGTATGTATAGAACTAAATAGAATTAGAAATTTGATATAACCAACAGAATCAAACAATGCGGCTTTGTTGCTGAAGCTGTATAAGTAATGAGTAAAATATGGTGAGCAATATTTAATAATGTAATTTGAACTAATATACAGCAAAGGTGTAAATATATACAATGATCTCGAGATTGCGAGAACCAAACATATATTCCATTCTCTCCGTTCTTTGTTTCAAATATCTAGTTTACATAGTAAGAATAAAACACCATCTGATGCGGTGTAACGTGGTCTCTTGCTCAACGAAATCTTAGTGTATACTTACAAGTGTATACTTACCGAGAAAACTCACTCTCGATTTCCAGTGCACTGCACGTATGTGCTTCATGATCATGTATTTTTTGTCTTTTGTATCACATAAAGCACATTCAATGATATCGGGAACAATGACAATTTCCCTCATCACTGCATTTCAAAATTCTATAAGACAAGTCATTCTCTCCGGTTACAATACTCGGGAATTCATTATCTGGGAACGCATCAAGAATCAAGCATTTTATTCTGAAATGTCATTTATTAAGGTGATTGGGAAGGTGACGGTGGAAGTTGAGTAGATACGACTCATTGGCGAGAGTTTGTGAAAGTTTTTAAAATGAGATACTTGATAAGAATACAATTATTGTACTACAGGGAGGGCAGCGCTCTCCAATAGAATGCAATTATTTCGTAGCCGCCGTGATATAATTTCGTATAATTTCTGCATGGAAAGTACGTAATTTAATAAAGTAGACTAGTAAATATTGTTTGAATTACAAATAGTGCTATAAATGTACTTCAAACACGTTGTTATAATGAAGCGTGCTGTGGTAGAACAGGGAACGCAGCGCTCTCTAATAGAATGAAGTTATTTCGTAGCCGCCGTGATATAATTTCGTATAATTTCTGCATGGAAAGTACGTAATTTAATAAAGTAGACTAGTAAATATTGTTTGAATTACAAATAGTGCTATAAATGTACTTCAAACACGTTGTTATAATGAAGCGTGCTGTGGTAGAACAGGGAACGCAGCGCTCTCTAATAGAATGAAGTTATTTCGTAGCCGCCGTGATATAATTTCGTATAATTTCTGCATGGAAAGTACGCAATTTAATAAAGTAGACTAGTAAATATTGTTTGAATTACAAATAGTGCTATAAATGTACTTCAAACGACGTTGTTATAATGAAGCGTGCTGTGGTAGAACAGGGAACGCAGCGCTCTCTAATAGAATGCAATTATTTCGTAGCCGCCGTGATATAATGTCGTATAATTTCTGCATGGAAAGTACGTAATTTAATAAAGTAGACTAGTAAATATTGTTTGAATTACAAATAGTGCTATAAATGTACTTCAAACGACGTTGTTATAATGAAGCGTGCTGTGGTAGAACAGAGAGCGCAGCGCTCTCTAATAGAATGAAGTTATTTCGTAGCCGCCGTGATATAATTTCGTATAATTTCTGCATGGAAAGTACGTAATTTAATAAAGTAGACTAGTAAATATTGTTTGAATTACAAATAGTGCTATAAATGTACTTCAAACGACGTTGTTATAATGAAGCGTGCTGTGGTAGAACAGAGAGCGCAGCGCTCTCTAATAGAATGAAGTTATTTCGTAGCCGCCGTGATATAATTTCGTATAATTTCTGCATGGAAAGTACGTAATTTAATAAAGTAGACTAGTAAATATTGTTTGAATTACAAATAGTGCTATAAATGTACTTCAAACGACGTTGTTATAATGAAGCGTGCTGTGGTAGAACAGGGAACGCAGCGCTCTCTAATAGAATGAAGTTATTTCGTAGCCGCCGTAATATAATTTCGTATAATTTCTGCATGGAAAGTACGTAATTTAATAAAGTAGACTAGTAAATATTGTTTGAATTACAAATAGTGCTATAAATGTACTTCAAACACGTTGTTATAATGAAGCGTGCTGTGGTTGAACAGGGAACGCAGCGCTCTCTAATAGAATGAAGTTATTTCGTAGCCGCCGTGATATAATTTCGTATAATTTCTGCATGGAAAGTACGTAATTTAATAAAGTAGACTAGTAAATATTGTTTGAATTACAAATAGTGCTATAAATGTACTTCAAACACGTTGTTATAATGAAGCGTGCTGTGGTAGAACAGGGAATGCAGCGCTCTCTAATAGAATGCAATTATTTCGTAGCCGCCGTGATATAATTTCGTATAATTTCTGCATGGAAAGTACGTAATTTAATAAAGTAGACTAGTAAATATTGTTTGAATTACAAATAGTGCTATAAATGTACTTCAAACACGTTGTTATAATGAAGCGTGCTGTGGTAGAACAGGGAACGCAGCGCTCTCTAATAGAATGAAGTTATTTCGTAGCCGCCGTGATATAATTTCGTATAATTTCTGCATGGAAAGTACGTAATTTAATAAAGTAGACTAGTAAATATTGTTTGAATTACGAATAGTGCTATAACTGTACTTCAAACACGTTGTTATAATGAAGCGTGCTGTGGTAGAACAGGGAATGCAGCGCTCTCTAATAGAATGCAATTATTTCGTAGCCGCCGTGATATAATTGCGTATAATTTCTGCATGGAAAGTACGTAATTTAATAAAGTAGACTAGTAAATTTTGTTTGAATTACAAATAGTGCTATAAATGTACTTCAAACGACGTTGTTATAATGAAGCGTGCTGTGGTAGAACAGGGAACGCAGCGCTCTCTAATAGAATGAAGTTATTTCGTAGCCGCCGTGATATAATTTCGTATAATTTCTGCATGGAAAGTACGTAATTTAATAAAGTAGACTAGTAAATTTTGTTTGAATTACAAATAGTGCTATAAATGTACTTCAAACGACGTTGTTATAATGAAGCGTGCTGTGGTAGAACAGGGAACGCAGCGCTCTCTAATAGAATGAAGTTATTTCGTAGCCGCCGTGATATAATTTCGTATAATTTCTGCATGGAAAGTACGTAATTTAATAAAGTAGACTAGTAAATATTGTTTGAATTACAAATAGTGCTATAAATGTACTTCAAACGACGTTGTTATAATGAAGCGTGCTGTGGTAGAACAGGGAGCGCAGCGCTCTCTAATAGAATGAAGTTATTCGTAGCCGCTGTGATATAATTTCTGCATGGAAAGTACGTAATTTAATAAAGTAGACTAGTAAATATTGTTTGAATTACAAAAAGTGCTATAACTGTGCTTCAAACACGTTGTTATAATGAAGCGTGCTGTGGTAGAACAGAGAGCGCAGCGCTCTCTAATAGAATGCAGTTATTTCGCAGCCGCCGTGATATAATTTCTGCATGGAAAGTACCTAATTTAATAAAGTAGACTAGTAAATATTGTTTGAATTACAAATAGTGCTATAAATGTACTTCAAACGACGTTGTTATAATGAAGCGTGCTGTGGTAGAACAGAGAGCGCAGCGCTCTCTAATAGAATGCAGTTATTTCGTAACCGCCGTGATATAATTTCGTATAATTTCTACATGGAAAGTACGTATTTTAATAAAGTAGACTAGTAAATATTGTTTGAATTACAAATAGTGCTATGAATGTACTTCAAAACACGTTGTTATAATGAAGCGTGCTGTGGTAGAACACAGAGCGCAGCGCTCTCTAATAGAATGAAGTTATTTCGTAGCCGCCGTGATATAATTTCGTATAATTTCTACATGGAAAGTACGTATTTTAATAAAGTAGACTAGTAAATATTGTTTGAATTACAAATACTGCTATAACTGTGCTTCAAACACGTTGCTATAATGAAGCGTGCTGTGGTAGAACAGAGAGCGCAGCGCTCTCTAATAGAATGCAGTTATTTCGTAGCCGCTGTGATATAATTTCTGCATGGAAATTACGTAATTTAATAAAGTAGACTAGTAAATATTGTTTGAATTACAAATAGTGCTATGAATGTACTTCAAAACACGTTGTTATAATGAAGCGTGCTGTGGTAGAACAGGGAGCGCAGCGCTCTCTAATAGAATGCAATTATTTCGTAGCCGCCGTGATATAATTTCGTATAATTTCTGCATGGAAAGTACGTAATTTAATAAAGTAGACTAGTAAATATTGTTTGAATTACAAATAGTGCTATAACTGTGCTTCAAACGACGTTGTTATAATGAAGCGTGCTGTGGTAGAACAGAGAGCGCAGCGCTCTCTAATAGAATGAAGTTATTTCGTAGCCGCCGTGATATAATTTCGCATAATTTCTACATGGAAAGTACGTAATTTAATAAAGTAGACTAGTAAATATTGTTTGAATTACAAATACTGCTATAACTGTGCTTCAAACACGTTGTTATAATGAAGCGTGCTGTGGTAGAACAGAGAGCGCAGCGCTCTCTAATAGAATGCAGTTATTTCGTAGCCGCTGTGATATAATTTCTGCATGGAAAGTACGTAATTTAATAAAGTAGACTAGTAAATATTGTTTGAATTACAAAAAGTGCTATAACTGTGCTTCAAACACGTTGTTATAATGAAGCGTGCTGTGGTAGAACAGAGAGCGCAGCGCTC